GTGAAATTGACAGATGCTTCGGTTTAACTTCTTACTCCTCAAGTGTATCCGTCTACATTCCCACAAAGTATGGACCCATGAATTTCAAATGTCCTAGCAAGCATGTGGATATTGGGCCACGAAGTTGAAATATAATGGTATACATATAAAAACAGTTGATAGTTCGGTTTCTTTGTTGATCATTCCTCGTGAAATAACCCGGAAAAATTATTAAGTTCCCGATTACCTACTTGAAAATGTAATAGTAGTATAACGTGTAACTAAATTTCACACTTTATTCAGTTGATCTTTCCTTCAATAATCAGTAATGAGTAATCTATAGAAATCAATATCTCTTAGAAAATTAATGAATGTACTCATATAACTCAGTATGACTACGTATCAGACGTACTTAACTTTCGCTGAGATGATTTCATCAATTAAGTATACTCTATAGTCAAGTTGATTTTTAATGTAGTGTTGTGAAGATTGTTGAATTTCTTTGGAATTTTGATCGTTTGCAGAGTCGTGGACACTCACTGCTAAGGAGTCCCATACTATGAAAAATTGGGAACCTAGTTCTTACAGGCTTTCAGTGGTAGGTTAAATTAGATCGATTCATGATTTCATTGGAAGCCAAGTTTGTTATTTGAACATTGTTTATAACAAAAGATGATATCTGATTTTCAAAACGTCTTCTAGTTTATCCAAATATGGACTTTTCTCTCCAAGTACTCGACACATAATCTAGTTCGAGGTGAAATTCAACTCGAAAGTAATAATGATGTTTAAACTTTGAATAAGGGAGAATTGAGCGAGTTTTGTTACTTGTTATCGGAAAACTTCATACGATTCCTATAGTCTCTTCAGAATACTATGAATACACGACAATATTTTGCTATTTTATTTCGGTAGTTAGAGTACAAATACTAGGACATTCGGATCAGTATTTAACACTTTAATTTACTGATAAATATAATTTAAAAAATTATCCCTTATTATTTTGATGTTTACGTATTATAAATGAATTGTATGAATTCACATGAAGGCTGTTTTAATAAATAATCGTTTGTTCCCCGAGTTGTTTGGGTTTACCAAATGTCTTATACAGTTAAGGTCATCCTGTAGGATCAGAGAAATGTCACCGGGCCTTAGCCAAGTCATTCGACAGTCGGATTACTGAATATCGAACAGTTTACCGAATCTCGTTAGGGTCATGGACTGGTCTATGAGACAGTGATCGCATTATGTTCCTTGTACCTATTCTTACTAATACATCTCTGTAACATTGTTATATTCGTTCTACATGGTCATCGAAATAACCATAATACCTGAATACGACAAAAAGATAATCCATTTTATGAATTAACCTCGGGGTCTGATGTGAACCGCAAAACAAGAAGCCTTAAAAAATTACGGAAGCTATTTTTGGGGACGTTAATTCATTTAATTCAAAGCTTGTAAAACTGTAACATTTACTTTTTTTCCCTAGCCTATTCTACAGATCATAAGCTTTCGCTTGATGTATGACTCATTGCCATAGCATTTTCTGTTCTAAAGCTATTGTCATTTAGACGTAATCTTTTGTACCCTATTTTCTACTATAATCCCTCAGTTTTAGACATAATTGTATTTTTGTGCGTTGTGGTCAGCCTATTCATCTATTTATTCATGTAACTTTTCACCCTAATCTGAATTGGGAATTCGAGTGCTAGATCGGGGATGGAATAAAGTGATTAGTGTTCCAGCTGTCTTTGTCTTCTCTTTCTCTCTCGCGTGCTTGCCAACCAATCAGGGATAGAATAGTTTTCGTCTCTCTACCCCCACTTCGAACTCACGCATATTAGCCTCAAGGTTAAGCCAGTCAGCCTATCGTGTCAAGGTCTTATTCTACATTAGACAAGTCATACTCGGCACTAAGTGGGTAGAAAGATTCAAGGACGTAACAGGGTCTGAATTCTATGTAAGCCAGTTGGTCATACCATTTCCGTCCAACTTGACTAGGGTCTCAATTATCGACACAGATCACCAACATTAGCGATGTACATTGTTTTCAACGTTTTTATTATTATACATGGGTTGCGAAAAATTAGTAAACTGTTCATATTGGAATGAAGTTTTAACCAACCATTACTAGGAGAAACTGTTCTGTTTGTGATTGACATTGTAAATAACTTTATCAAGCTTAGAACATAGGTATTTACATCCGTCAATAAGGATTATCAACAACTCTTCTGAGAACAATTTCTTTTCGGATAAATTGTAACTCACATTTTTAAGTGACTAAACTTTGTACTAAAGCTAACGTACTTACTAGTAAATTTTGTATTCAAAGATAAACCATCCGCAAATTTTTGGCAGATTTACGAATGCAAATGAAGTTAAACCATTGGATTATTCTAAAATAATTAGCTATACTGAATGCTACCACCACTATCGTAAACGAGAACACAAATGGGGACAGCCAACTGCATTTAAATATAAAATTACAGAATCTTTTAGTAAAATATGAGAACCATATAGTAAATATTTCATTTGCGAAATGTCAATCAATAGTCTCAGACTTTATTGTTCCTTCACTTCCACACCAATCACTCTCTGTTCTTGTTGTATTCTATTCAATCTTCTTAACCTTCTGCAGTCAGGCACACACCACACCACTACTATTACACTTGTTTCACAATCACTATATCCATAGTTTTTCAAACAGAAAGAGTATCACATAAAAAAGTGTAAAAATCACTATATTTCTCCACCTAAGTGGCCCTGTAGACACTCTTCTCTAAATCTGAAGAGAACCTTTGAGTAATAGGAATAAACCCTGTCTGGAGTTATACCGTAGATCAATTTTGAAAACGAATATGGATCATGACAAGCTATAAATTGGCTGTAGTTGGAAAATATCTAAAACTAGATTGACAAGGTTCAATCAGAACTAAAGTGCTAGACAAACATGATATTGGTTATTATTCAGTGGCCAATCAGTTGTAATTACCACAGTCCTACATATGGTAAGCTGTGGTTATAATAACTCAATGTTCAGGTCTAAGATTGTGAAGCTGGATGACGCTGGTTAAAGTCCCATAATGAGCATCAGTTCCATCAAGACTGACGAGTGCCAATAATCTCAAAGATTAGGTTCAGGGTCCCCTAACGATTTCAAATGATCTAACATATCTAGGAATGAATTACAACTCTGAACAAATAAAATCATACATTCTATGAGAGTTATATTCTCTGAGCTCAATCTCATGCTAGGTGGTGGCCACTCATCGTGGAATAATTTCATAATAGATTGAAAGAATCATCTAGTGCCTTCTGGTTTCAACTAACTATCCACCTAATATCAGTTCACGCTCAAACATTTCTGTAAATATTTCTGTAAACTCAGATAATGCTTGACTTTGACAGTAGATATTAATTTTTATATATGGAGAAGTTCTCATTTTCCTTTTAGACAAGATAATTAGAGTGCTAACTTTTGAGAGGATCCCTCTAAATATCAATCAAGCTTATTCTGATAACTTTCAGAAATATTTTGCAATTGTGTACACTGATATTCTTACTTAATAGGGGATTGAATTGACCTATGATTTTTAACCTGTTGATTGATTAATTTTGTACCAATAATAAAGTTGTTCTCCTCCCTAAGTCTTCGTTCACTACAATTGATCCTGGTAGCGATATCAATTGTCCTTTATAATTCACCCATTTGTCATTTCCTTTCTATTTTCTTCAGTTCAATCTTCTCAACCTTTTTTGTCAGACCTTCCACTTCTGATCAGTGTTACATACTACTTATATCTGTCAATGTAATTAGCATGCACCTCTCTCTCTCTCTCTCTCTCTCTCTATATATATATATATATATATATATATATATATATATATATATATATATATATATAATGACTTGTTGTTGAAGTCCTTGGGTATTTATTCTCTCAGATTAACTTATTTGTAATAGAAGCCTATTTGTTAACTGAGTATACCTTAGATTTAATAAATATGGTCAACTGTTATAATGCAGTGATTTTACACACAAATGCTTCCGTATTTTGTATGCAAAATTACTTCTCAAAACAATGCTGATTAGTAAATTCACTGCTAAGCAAATTTACAATTAGTTATGAGTATAAATGCTAAACCAAGAAGTGTAATTCCTTTAATCTACTTATAAAAAGACATTATGAATTTCTCATAGGACACTCAGCTACGTTATTCGATCACTGGTGAATCAGTCCTCTTAGTAGCCATAACGTGATTTATTCGATCGAATTGGATGTAGTGAACAAACAATTAAGTGGGTAAGATCAATCTTTTGCCAAATGTAAATTTACAGAGTGTCTTTATAAAATATAAAAACCACACGTTAAACACTTTATCTGCATATCTTCCATCATTTGTCTCTAACAAACTTAACCGTTCCTTCATTACTTCTGTTATTAAAATTACTCTCTGTTTAAATTCCTGTTTTCTTCAATTTGATCTTCTCAACCTTATGACTACAGGCATTCCACTTCTGATTAGTGTTACATACTACTTATATCCGTCAATATCAGTAACATACACCACACTACTCCTACTACTACTCACGTGGTTACACTAACTCACTTAAAATTATTAATCGTTAGCATCTAGTCATTTGGAATGGTGATTAACATTTTCAAATTACTTGATTATTGGTCTGTATTTTCACACGCAACACAAATATTTGAAGACTCCACATCTTCAAATGCGATATGCTATGTAAGCAACTATTTTTAAAACAAAAAACCCCCACAAAACATTCGCGTACAGTTTCCAAGTCTAAATAACTATTGAACTAATTTGATAAATTTTTTATTTTTTTTGATTATCATTGTAATTTACTATAATTTAAATATGAATAGAAATTATAACATGGTAACACATGAGTACAAGCATGTATGTATATACACATACACATGAGGAAAGAGTGTATTAACATTCCAATTAATTTATTACTTCAGTTCATGTTTATCGATGTATTGTCATCATTGTCATCATTATCATAATAAGTAGAGCGTTTTTTGTAATCAGCTAATATAGCTTGACGTTTTTTATAATCAGCTAAAACACGTTTTACTAAATATGATTGATCAATATATGAATTAATTGGAAGAAGATCTTTTAAATGTTGTTTTCGTTGTTTCAATAGACTCTTCAAAGGATAAAGATCTTCAATAAATTTCTCTTTAGTATTTAAATAATAATCATTGTTTAAATGATTTAAAAAGAATGAATTTGGTAATAAATTCATATAAGAAGTTTTATTCATTGTTTTCAATAATGGATTCATTGGTTTATTGTAATTTTCATCAAATTTATCATTTAGATTGATATTTCTTAGTAACTGTGAATATGTCATGGTAGCCTAGAAATTAAAAAAAAAAGGGAAAAAAGTAAAGTAAATTAAATGTGTATAAATAATTTAATTATTTGACTTCATAAATATACAAATACAATCAATCTTCTGTGTTTGTATTTAGGTATGATAAATTACTGAAGCTTGAAATGAAAACGTAGCTGGTACTAGAGTACGTAACTGGGGGTATTGCTTTAATCGTTATTTATGTCTGATTTTAGTTTTAATCAACTAATGTTTCATTAGACTGTTATACAATAAAAGAAATATTTAATTAGATGGAGTTCATCATACCGATTGTCCTATCAAGTCATTGTGATTGATAGTTACACTTCTTGAGATGAAATTACTTATCTAGTTAATATCTGTGTTTTTTTTAAAAAGAATCAATCATCTGTATAAGGCAGTATTTAAAGAGTTAGCCAATGATCTTCAATAATATTACATGAAGATTACACTATCTCATTAATTGATGAAGTTTAAAAAAAGTAACCTACTGACTTGAAACTCATAGTTATAATAAACTATCCCGAAAGACCTAAAAAACCATGCTTTCTATCTGGCATGGGATAATAAATATTTACTACTGATGAGTTTATTGTTTGAAACAAATCTGCGTGATTCATGTACTATTTATGAATTTTCCAGTTTGTTGTTTATTTAATTATGATCACTAGAGTACTAAATTATAACAAATTTTCTAGATAACTAACTTTAATTCTTATGAAGTAGATGGGTCGTAGATAATAGACGAACCTGGGACACTATATTCGTCTCATTTTGAACTCATCAGCTGGATTTCATTTCATTTCAATATTAATGTCCATTTTGAGACTTGAATCCCATAGCTTTTCTTTTCAAATGTCAATTCGCTATTTACTAAGCTATTGAGTTAACTAACTAACTAACTTAATGAATGCTAGTATATTCAATGTCAATGGAAAATTATTAGAATTCAAAAAGAGAACGTAAATTCAAATTTCTGTTTAGTTTCCTAACACTTGATTATTTGTTCCGTAAGTTAAATTCAACTGTATACATATGTTTAACACTTAAGTGTACAAATAAAATGAGATTGACAAGTATGTCTATACATTGATATAATTTTTAATAAGTAAACAATGAATATAAATTTATGTACATGACTTATTTTAATATTTTTTTGAAAATATAAAGGAATACAATTAGACCAATAAATCCATGAAAAGGTTCTCAAAGTGAACCCTTCATTACAAACTTCACAACTGTATGGAAAAGATTTCTAGTGATTACAGATGAAAGCGGTCAAAATGTAGTTTAGTCAATCAAAACTTGTTAAATGAATGTGAAAAAGGATAGAGGAAAAACAAATAACAAGCGAAATGCGGGGTCTGAAGGTAGAGGGTTTGTTTCTTAGTGGGAGGTCGTGACTGCCCACTGCTAAGGAGCCTCAAATTAGAGTGAAGGAGCTCTCCAATGTTTCTTGATTTTCAATAGTTGTCTAACCATGGTCAGTTCCTAATGTGAACTTTATAAATTAAACTGTTTTGCGAAAATACTAATTTTACTAATCGGTATAAAATGAAAATCAGGAAAATGTTCCTTTGTTATTGAAAAAATTATCCAGTGATACAAAAATTATTTGAGGATTTGTGGAATTATAGCTAATCAAAATTACATATATATATACATATATATATATATCCCTTCTCTTTCTCCTGGTGACCGACTGGAATATGAAGACGTCAACATCTGGAGGGAAGCACGGGATACAATGGACAGATAGGATGCAGCTGGACGATTTAGACTTCGCAGATGATCTGGATCTCCTATCACACACGCAACAACAAATGTAGGAGAAGACGACCAGTGTAACAGCAGCAGTAGGTCTCAACATACACAGTGGGAAAAACAAGATTCTCCGACACACCACAACATCCATCAATCGAATCACACTTGACGGAGAATATTTGGAGGATGTATAAACCTTTACATATCTGAGCAGCATCATTGATGAGCACGGTGGATCTGATGCAGATGTGAGGGCGAGGATCGGAAAAGCAAGAGCAGCATATCTACAATCGAGGAACATCTGGAACTCAGAACAATTGTCAACCAACACCAAAGTCGGAACTTTCAATACAAATGTGAAGACAGTTCTACTGTATGGGGCGGAAACTCGGAGAACTACGAAAGCCATCATTCAGAAGATACAGGTGTTTATTAACGGTCGTCTACGCAAAACACTTCGGATCCGTTAACTAAACACTATCAGCAACAAGTTACTGTGGGAGAGAACAAATCAGATTCCATCCAGCGGAGGAAGAAGTGCCGGAAGTGGATAAGACGCACATTAAGGGAAGCATCCAACTGCGTCACAGGGCAAGCCCTCACATGGAGTCCTGAAGGCCAAAGGAGAAGAGGAAGACCAAAGAACACATTGCGCCGAGAAATGGAGACAGACATGAGAAGAATCAACAAAAGTTGGACAGAACTATAAAGGAAGTCCCAGGACAAAATGGGTTGGAGAAAGTTGGTCGGTGGCCTATGCTCCATTAGGGGTAACATACGTAATATATATACTAATTTATATCAATTAAATATCAACACTTTTCAAACACTGAATTTTGTAAATTCTTGATCACCAAAATGGTCAGTTTAACCTTGTTTATTGAAACGTTCATAGCCTTGTAAGTCAAGTCACTTGAAATGATGATCCATGTTATGAAGTACATATTATAGAAATATGACTCATAAAAAACAATTTGTACTTAATTTATTATCATCATATTGATCAGATCACATTAAGAACTGATCTGTGTCGACTTAATATCTATCATAGATGGGGCAATGATTTTTACTTCTTAATTGACTAAACAAATTCATTTTTGAATTTTGACTCATACGTTTGAAAAATTCACACTGAAATACGAATAAAGTTTGGTAGATCAACTCTGTGAGGTAAAATACTTCTAGATTTGATGTCTGTTTATCATTACTAACCATATTACTGTTATTGTTTTAGCCGTGACTCCAAAAATAACCTTATAAGTGGTTTAGGATTTCTGTCATAGACTGATCACAACAATAATATTATTATCTACTAGAATAAAAATGACAATATATGTAATTCTTTTTACCAGAGATAAAGAAGAGATAGATAGATAGATAAACAAAAAAACAGTCGAGTTTCAATCATACAGTGATACACTGAAGTGAATGGAATAAAACACTTCTTATGGTGACAAGTACATTAATCACATTCGCCAATGTATATTTATAAGAAATAATTGAAAAACAACTAATATAACTTATTGATAACAAGTATTATGTAACGTAAACCCAAAAATTTTAAATGGAGTAGAAAATAAATCGAAAATAACCGACAGGTTAAGAACAATAAATAGTACATTGATCACTCATTGATAAAAGAATCATACGATTAAAATCAGTAGTAATAAATTCTTTAAATTCACAACTCAAAGATATGTGTAGATTGATATCATGAATGGATCAATGTTAGACCACCAATGAAAACCTGGAAGCATTGGATGGTCGTCCTAGTACGGGAATCATCAGAAGTGCGCACCCATAAACCCACACGCGGGAATCGAACCCAGTGTACTCCGGTCTCACACGCAAACGTTTAACCTCTAGACCACTGAGTCGGCATCCAATGGTATTAATGTCTAACTTCAAGCAATCCATGATGCTTTAAGGATATGTCAGTTCTACTTCACAACCATTAGTGACTTTGTTAAAATCTCTGGGTATATATATGAAAGAAATATAACATACTAAATGTTGATCACTAGTAAATTATATCAAAAAATACATTAAGAAAATGGATACAGAGAAGAAGAAAAAAAGAAGGAATAAAAAAATTCAAATTATTTGCATAATTAGGTTAAGTAAGTTGATGAACTAACAACATTAAACAAAATGTTTTACTAAAAATACTTAGTATACAATATTGTGGAGGATTTTTAAAATTGTAGTTGCTCACCATCTAATTTAGCAAACTATTGAAAGGCAGGACAAAAACTAGAGGATTATTTCATTTAATTATCAAAAATTTCAGCACTTCACATCTGTGATCCTACCAGAAATTGAATTCAAACCTTACGCCAATCGCTTAACTTTTGGCTTCTAAGTTAGTGAAAAAAACTATTGACGATACCACCGGTATCGTAGTTTGACAACACTTTACCAGTAACACCTTCTATAATCGAACCTCACCCACGCAGTGAAATCAAAAGTCAGTAGCGAGGAGGTTGGAAGATATATTTGATGGGTTATCAGTATATCAAGGAGTGACTGATTCAATCTTGTTAGAGATTGCAGGAGATGTTGCGCACGCCTTTTCTAAACGTGATCTGGTACGGATGCATGACCGAGAGCCTTCAGCTAAATGAATCCATTAAAACTAATGTGGTCAGCATCCAATGTTGAACACTTACAGAGTTATTGATTATGGGGATTTATTTACAGCTACACTATCATATTCATATTTTCCCTTCAGGAGTGTTTGTTCTTGTTTTGTAGAGTTAAAAAAAAATAAAAAGGAAATTAGAATGTAAAATGCTTGTTTCTAATAGCTTAAATATTTAAATAAAGCATACTATACAATACCTGCCTGGATTTATCAATAATAATAATTATGCAAACTTTCTTAAATTGTTATTGTATACAAACTGATGTGTCAATTAATAATAATAATAATGCTGTTATTGTTATTATATAGTGTAAGTATTTTAGCAACTAAATAATAAACAATAACAAAGATTACACTAAAGAAACATTGATTGATATATTAGTAAATGTGATTAATAATCTGTTATAAACAACAACAAAAAAGAAGGCACAAAAACTTTATAAAAATGACATGGTGATTTGTTTATTTCCACACTTATCTTCTTTATTATAATTGTAGACAATATGAATTTATTGAAATGAAATAATGCTGAGGGGGAAAATAGTTTACTTTTTTTCTTCAGAAAATATTATTCAATAAAGTCAATTATTCATGT